GAATTTAGCTGAAGTGGCAAGATTATACAGAGGGTAAATATACAGGCAAACTCTACAAACATCTATCAGCTACTTCTGTTCATTACTTGGGCTTTGTAGAAGGTTGCATTTTGTTATCCTTTTGCAGTTGTTGATGTTTCTATGTGTATAAAGCTGGACAACGATGAGGCTCTCTGGTCCTAGAATGACTTAGAGTCTCAGACACCGTAAGAAGCAGCTCGACTCTGTCTAATAAGGTTGCTAAGACTCAGAATCAACTCAATGGCAGTGGGGATGTGTTGGGTGATATGTAGCAAAAACAAAATAAAATCCCTATGATTCTGTAAACAGGCTCAGCATGGCATTCAGTACAGCCAACAAGGAAACTCCAATCTTACGTGGAAGACCTTTCTGGACATGACCAGGTCCTGCAGAATTGTTTTCTGTTCGTGCCCATAGGCTTAGTGTTTCTATGATTTACAATGCCTTTAGCTGTTTACCAAGGAGGAAATTATGGAAGAAAAAAAGGCCTCAAAACAAAACTGAGAAAACATGCAGTAATTCTCAACTAAAAAAAAAAATCCATTATAGAATTGATTCCAAGTCATAACGACCCTGTAGTAGAGAAGCTAATTAAAGAAAAAGGTTATAGATTGGCTCAAATTTTCATCTGTTTTAGGATACAAAAGGAGACCCACAAATCTCAAATATAATTTAAAGAGAACATTCTTAAATAATAAAAAGTCAAGAGATGGCAAAGACACACCATCCAGATGAAGGAACTCATTAGACAAGGTCATAGTAGCAGCCAGCTATTAAGACACATGCTTAATATGTGTTAAAGACATACAAACAAGATAATGTGCATCTGGATTTTGACATGACATGATTTTGACAAGCCTGTTTAACTGTGATGCTTAGGGTCAGGGACCAAGATGCTCCAAATCCATCCACACTTAGTCCTTCAACTTTCTTCTCATTTTCATATAACAATTCTTTTCCCACTTCACAGTGACTCATAAATTTAAGACCTCTTGACACCCACTTCTACAAAAATTCTAAAATATTTCCATTATCTTTTCTTGATTTCTTTTTCAGAGTTCATTAGTATTCAGGATTCCTATTGATTTTTTCCATTATTTTTAAGGTGTGGTAAATGTCATGTTCATTATAGTATCTAAGTAATTCAAAAATAGTTAATTATATATCAAATCATGCTACATAGTTTTTAGGTTCCTTTTTGTTTAATGTGTCACTAATGGACACTTTAAGTGCTTTACCCAATCTCATTTTCTTATAAGCCTGTGGTTTTAATTGGCCGATAGTGAATTTTGCACAGCATGATAATTTTCAGGAACATATATTACATCATAGCATAACTGAATGCATATGCATATATATATATATACACTAAACTCATATATATATATATATATATAAACTTAAAAAGAGTGAATGTAACTCTATCAGCATGAAATATACATGGCCATCAAGTAACTCCACATACCTAAATTAAAAAGGACCACTGTCATAATTTTGTTTTCTAGTTTTCACTCTTGTTCTATTTCTTAAACTTTTGTTATTTACAAAGCGAAACCAATGAGCCCCTTGAAATTAAAAACAAACAAGGAAAAAGAACAAATGCAAGGGAATTTTGAGGTGTCTTTGCAGCAATTTCTTATCTCAAAGGAAAGGAGAAAACCCCATTCTCCTGGGAGTGGTTTAGCAGAGCACAATTGCCTGATGTTTAAAAGCACAGGCATCCAACTTGGGGCAGCAGTGGGATCCCACAGCACTGGACAGCACCCGCATTTTGAAATGGAATGAAGACCTCATCCTAATATTGGACTGGAAAATTATAAAGATATGTGGGAGATGTGTTGGGGACTGTCAGAACACTACTGATGTATACACTGTTTCATTTCTCACTGATTTTTGTCTTCCCTCTCACACTTGTTACAAGCCAACTTGGTGTGTCTTTGCTCAGAAGAGGTCTTTTTTATGAATTCCCAATGGAGAAGTGGCTGAAAGACTTCTCTCCTGGCTTTTGTTTCACTGCAGTCTGGTTTTGAAGGCGTCTCTAAGTCATTGAACGTAATATAGGAAGCATGCTTGGAGATCAAAGGTAAACTAACAGAATAGAGGATGTGATATTTGCCGTTGGAGTCCTTGGGGAGGTGGTACAATCTGTAGCCCTGATGTGAAAAACTGGGGAGACCTCAGAGGTTCTGGGGCACAGAATGCATGGGAAAACTTAATCCTAGTTTTTGCCTCATTAAAGGTTTCCTATTCCTTGATCATTACCAAGGGCTTAATCAATGGAGATATGAGGTATGATCTTAACAGCATGGAAAATAGACTCGAGTCTTACCTTCAAAATGAAATCAGACAGCTATATAATACAGGAAAGAAAAGCTGTCCATCAAAATATAGTATATCCTTCATTCCTTGTTTTTTAACTTGTATAACCTGATCCGTTTCGATGCTGATCCATTTTCCCATGTGTTACCTCATTTCGTGTACCTGTGTTCACCTCTCTGTTTCTAGTCCCTTCTATCTCTAAGGCCAATGGGCCAGATCAGAGCTAGAGTTCAATAGAAATATACCATTTACTTACTTTCCTTTTTCTCAGTAAAGATGCTCTAAACAAGCATATCAGTTTCAGAAGGAATATGACAGGAATGCTCCTGGGAAGTGAGGACTGTGAGATCTTAGCTTGCTTATTTTGATCATCTCTTCAGAAAAGAACAATGCCTAGAGAAAGGGAAGGTGAAGTAGAGGGGAGCTCTCAAAGATGCATAGAACCAAGCATCTCAATGATGCGTTCAAACCTATAAAAGAGCAAGGATATGTGGCACCTGGGCAACAGTTCTTCCTATTATACTTCCTATTGTACTGTGTCTAGGACTTCATGAGTTGAAACAGACTCAGTGACAACTAACCACATCTCACGCCGCTAGGTCTTATCAACTTGTACTTGGGACTTGGTATAGCGGAGCAGTGGGTAACAGACAACAAACCCAGGGCCACCGAGTTCATTAGGACTCCTAGTGACCCTAGGTAGCGGAGTAGAACTGCTCCCTGACATTTCCGAGGCTGTCAATCTTTCCTGAAGCTGGTGAGTGGGGACAGAGGGCCTTGTAATTACCAACCCCACACTTCACCCTCGGGCTTCTGGGGCACATAAGGAAGAGCCTGAGAGGAAGAGCAATGGCCAGAATGTGACAAGCTCATCAGATGATTTACCTGTCTGTCTACCTACCTGTCTGTCTAACGTATAAATCCAAAATCCAGATTCACGGCCGAGTCAATTCCGATTCAGAGCCAGCCTAGAATGACTATATTTGTCAGGCAGACAGAGAAACAGATGATAAATAGATATAAACAAATTATAGAGCACCTGTAGTCAACTAGAAATTTTACTATAATCATTATCTGAAAATTAGGAAAATACCTGTGAGTCATCTGGGAACAAGGCTAGGCTCTACTTGTCACCTATCCACACTAACGCGAAGTGACCAGTGGCACAAGGGTAAGCCTTGGCTGCACCCGCAGGTCAGCAGGTGGATTTCACCAAAACACCTAGTGATTTGCTTCCGTAATATTATATCATAGAAAACCTATGGAGGAAATTCCATTCTTTCTTACTGTATCTCTATGATTTGGACTTGATTCAAGGACACGCAGCAACATTAGACATTACGAGAGTAATTGTTCACCAGCTCTCTTTCAGCATGCATGGTTTCTTATTACACCAATGGGATTTTAAAAGTGTCTAGGAATAGAAGTTATAATCCTTTACATGAAAAGAATTAATTTATCTATAAAAAGCTTTTCAAAACACATACACAATGGAATAACCTAGCTTACCTGAGAAGTAAATTGCTGTATTTATTTGAATGGCTCTCTAACGGAAAGTGAAACAGTGCACCCTCTATCCAATATCTGCTCTATATTACTGAACTTGACAGATATTTTCCTGCCACTGAGGATGTAGTCATTGTATTTTTCAAACCATGTGTGACACATACCATCCTATAGTTTGTTAAAAGCAATATACAGAGCAAGATGTGTACTTTCCAATTGTAAAGGCCTCTTCTCTTTTTCTTTGAGATCAAGAAAAGGCAAGAACAGCAGACAGCTCATAACATTTGAAAGTAATACTCGGAAGCATATCAAGTCAAGAGGTACTTCCTTCACTCTGGATGCATGATTTCATTATACACAATTCTGTATCATTCTGGAAGACATTCTACTATGGAAAACATGTCTTTTGTTGCCTGGAACAATGGGCATCTGAGGAAATTTAAATGTACTCATCATTATAAGACAAAAGAGAAAACAATTTCACTTTTTTTCTGATTAATTATATGGAGGCATCTAGGAGAATGGGCATCAATCTTAAATTCATGAAACTTTATTTTCTGGAAATGGAAATACAAGACACTTAATAATAAGGTCATTGCTATTGTTACTATATATGGTAATTTTATTATCCAATTGTTCTGAATTACAAAACAAATCAGAAAAACAAACCAGCAAAAAACAAATCAGAGTCATACTTCTGTTACTTTAAAATGATTGAGTCCCTAGACCTAATGGCGAGGATTTGGGGTCTCTCATTATCCTCTTTCAAGAGCTCCTTTTTCCATTAAAACGCCCTCTAAATCTGACCCATATCACGGTCTCCAATACTCACAATGGCCTTCATATGCAAAGGAGCCCGAGTGGCATGGTAGGGTACCCCCTGGGCTGCCCACTGCAAAGTTTGGGGCTCAGACCTGGCGGATACTCCACTGGAGAGGCTCCCTGGAACTGCAGATGGACAGGCTGGGAACTCACTCCTGAAGCAGCTCTAGCTAGTCCCTTCTATATAGTTGCTGAATCTGAATTGCCTGGATGTGAAATGGGGATGGACTTAATGCAATACAGTAGAACCCCGGACCTCGATGCTACTCTGTCCTAGAAGGAGCGTCCAGATGCGATGCAATCAAGTTCAAGCCAGGGATGGTGTTAAGAAAATGGCTGACAAGCCAGACACGGGAGAAATTGCCAGCTTCAATAAAGCCAAGCTGAAGACAACGAAGACGCAGAAGGACACCCTGCTGACCAAGGAGACCACTGAGCAGGAGAAGCGGAGTGGAAGCTCCTGATCCTGGCGGATTCCCCGTCCATCGTCCACCAGACTGATGTGGAGAAGGGTCACCTGCAGGATGGACACGGGCGACAAGATATCTGCACGGTGAATCCACCGGCCTCCGGGCTTCGGAGGGACTACCAAATTCTCCGGTCTGCCCTGGGATACTGTCGAAAACGGTTTGTATGATTAATGAAAATAAAACACACCTCATGACCAAAAAAATCAAACAAACTGAAAACGGATTAATCCATTCTCGACTACCAAGTCTTTACCCTAACCTTGCCTTTTTATATAAGACATGACACAGAAATTTCAAAATAAATAAGTTCAGAGTTAAATAATATGATTTAAATAAGAAACACAACATTAGAAAGTTTTTAACAACAACAGGATGACCCATACCTTGAGACTGATGAGGCTCTGGATCTGGGGACACGGATGTGGAGAGAGAGCCAAGGTTTGCAAGGGGAATCCCCTTCCATGAATTAGCTGGTAGCTGCTTTTCAGGAGCTGTTTCATTTCTCTGCCCTCTCCACTCGGGCCTAGCTGCCTTTCTCGAAAAACAACGCTGTCGAATGTGCTCTGCTGTTGGCGTTTCCTTAACTGTTTTCTAAAAGGGTTTACTAAATTATCATCAACAATATTGATAACATGGTTAACCAGTTCCTTATCATGATGATTCTTTTCAAAAACCTTTCTTAGGACCCATGTTTGTTTGTTTTTTTTATCTAAAAACAGTACAAGAAGCCACGAAAACAGAAAATTATAGCAAAACGCTTGGAACACAACTGCAAACGGTTTAAACACCGCGTCCTAACACCAATCAACACCAAGTGACTGAAACGCGAACTGCCTTTGTTTATAAAAATCACGTGTGTTGGGGTCAGTTCCCGATGTTTTGTTCGAGCTCAGATGCAAACTTTTCTCTTGACAGTTCACATTGAAATTTGATTATGTTGAGTACTGATGTGGTCGAGTCCTGGAGTTCTACTGTATAAAGTTTTAAATACCATGAATAACACATTTGTCGTCCAATATAGTTTTGAAAAAGAGAGAATTAAATCTGGATATATTCTAATGTTTAGTCTTAAAATTTTGTGCATTTTTTAAGACTAAAGCATTAAAATACACTCAGACTTTAGTCTTTAAATTTCAGTTTTTAAGTGCTTTACTGTTATATTTTTAGTTATTTTTAATTTAAGACTAAAGTGTTAAAATATACCCAGATTCAATTGTCTTTCTCTTTTTAAAGGCTATGTAGGGCAACAACCGTGCCCAACTCATAGAAGTTAGATTATAGATGGCATAGTACTTTTTTGCATATGCTTTACATTTTGAGCGTAATGTGAAAGCTTACATTTATAATTTATTTAAATCCATTAATCATATTAAGATCATAAATAATAATTTGGTTGGTAGGGGAGAAAACTTAGTATCTGTACACATAAAATAATTTTGGTAAATCTTAAATATAAATAACTACATATCAGTGATAACACATTGTCAGGGGGGAAAAGCAGTACAGTAGAAACAGAAATCTTTTGATTTTAACTTAACCCAGCAATCCATGTTTCATTGGCTATTAATTCAATATGTCTAGTTCCTTGGTTTATTGATCTTTAAATTCCAAGCTATATCACATACAGCATGCAAATACTGTTGGTTAAATTAGTGCACTGATGAATTTGCTTCAAAAACAAAGTAGGTTGTATTTACATATGCTTTTCTATAATCTTATTATACTTTATTTAAAAATACTACCATTTATATAGTCTTTGCCAAGCAAAGTCCAGAATAGAAAAAAGCAAATGTACGGTTGATAGAAAGTATAGAAGAGGAAAAGAGTAACAAATATTTTTTGAGTACTTACTATGATTGACCAATTTGTATAGCTTACCTCATTAATTTCTCATTAATAGCAGTCAATAAAGGTAGATATTAGCATACAGATTTAAATCCAAAGTCACCAAGACTTAACAAGGTTATATAATTTGCTCAAGACCACAATTGATGGATGAAACTGAAATTCAAAGTGACTTAAAGAATATATTGATTCCTGGTGGCATAATTAGTTAGTGTTGGGCTTCTAACCGTTGCAAGGTCAGAAGTTCAAAACCACCAGCCACTCTGAAGGAGAAAGGTGAGGCTTTCCAGCTCTGGAGACTCATAGTAGCAGTTCTACTGTGTCCTAGAGCGCTGCTGTGGTATGGAGTGGACTCCATGGGAGTGCGTTTGGAGAAAGTTTTAAAGTGGATGCCCCTTTTACTACCCTCCATTGGTATTAAATTGGTGTTTAAGTTAAATTAAGTTACTAATTGGTGATTATATGAATATATAAATTCTGCATTTATACAAGGAACATAGAAAAATAACTATGTTGTCACAAAACATTTTTAAATTTTGCATTTCTAGATCGAATGATGGAGTGATATGTTATCAGCCAGTTCTCACTTTGGAAGAATTAAATATAAATTGTGTCATTTAAATCTCCCTGGTGGCTTATAATCAAATTTCCTGGCAGTGAATTTATGTTGTGTTTTTGTTTATTCATTTGTCTTAGTTGTGTTGTTGTTTGTTTATTTGTGGCTTACTGGGCTACACATTGCTCTGCTAACTCCAAGGTTAGTAGTTCAAACCCATTAGCCACATTGCAGGAGAAAGATGAGGCTCTTTACTCCTGTAGGGATTTTAAAATACCAACAGAGGACAGTTCTAGTCCATTCTATACCATTGCTATGAATCACAATTGACTGTAGGCCAGTGGATTTTTGTCAACTGAACACAACCTATGTTCCAGCTTTACCTCAACTAAAGCAGTCTTCACACAGCAAACAGCCAGTCAGTTTACAGTTTCCAAATGTGCCCCAAACTCCATTGCATTCATTATTTCCTCCCTTTGCTTCCTCTGCTCTCCCAGCAGCCAAAAAGGTATATATTTTAAGATATATGTCAGATATCCTCTCTATATTGCTATATTGCTTCCATCAGGTATTGCGTTTAGCTAACTCCCTCAAATGTAAATTTCCTCTCAAATGCTACCTATTTCATGAGGCCTTTGTTAACCTATGTTTCTTCCCCAATTCCCCTACTCTATTTATCTTTTTTATATTTTCCATAATCTATCTAACAAACTCCACATGTAAGTTATTTCCTTATTAGATGTGTTTATTAGATCCTTTCTTGGCTTCATAAAAGAATGGGCAAGTCCCAAAGGCAGGTGTCTTTGCTAATTAATTGTATACTAAGTGGTGACCACAGGATATGAGTGAAGGCAGCTGGCAAAAATTGTGTGAAACTGGGTTATTTCCTTTTATATTTGGATTGAAACTAAGAAATCTTAGTGTTGTTGGCTTTAACCAAGCACATAGAATTTAAAGAGCAGCCATATATTGGACCAGTGCAGCAAGTCATCTAAAGGGAAAGGCAGAGATGGGATTCCAAGTGCAGGATAATGGAGGGACAGCAAGAAGAAAAAAATAAAAAACATTAACCCTATGCCATCAATGGCAGCTCATAGAGACCCTACCAGACAAGGTAGAACTGCCCCTGGGAGTTTCCGAGATTGTGACTGTTAACTTGAGTAGAAAGAAGTCCCTGTAGCCCCTGGTAGTTTTGAGCAGCTGACCCAGCAGTTAGCATACATACAACTCCTAACCACTCCCCTGCCAGGAAAAGACACTGATAAATTGACAAAGAAGTAGTCATATGCTGTTATATATTTTGAAGTAGGATTTATTTTCACCAAGTTACCTCATTTGACTTTAATTGCTTGGGAGTGGGAGATAGGTCTTTAAGGATTTATTAGCTACTATTTATTATGTATAAGATATCTCAATGATTTTTCTTGTGTGAACCAAAAATCATCTCAACTAATATTACCCCCAATCTTTTCTTCTGCTAATTCATATTATTGTGTAGAAATAGCTGTGTTTAACAGGTTATAAGTATTCTTCAAGTACAGTTTTGATCATTTTCATATGGTCAATACCATAAATAATTGATTGGGCCAATGGTTAATTCGCATGCTTGGTTTTGGATATGGTTCTCTCAATCTTGATTATTAAAATGAAGAAACTAATAACCACCAACACTGGGTAGCTGGTGGAAGTAGCACATCTGGGAGATGGGGGACATAGTTTATGATTTCTACTTTCTTTCCATGGCCTGAGCAGAATTATTGACTTTTGGGTTAATGACAAATGTTTGAAATTTATAGAATTGAAACTGTAAACACTTTATTGGACATCTAGCATGTTTACAAGTATGATAAGTGCTTGATACACTCATTTCTCAAAGGCATTATTGTTCTCATATAAATTGTCTTCTTTGATAGAAAAAACAACATAAGGCGGAGAGAAGTAAGTGAGTTTGTTCAAAGTCAACTCACTGGTAGGAGATGGAGCTGAAATTCAAACTAGAGATGCCCTTCTCTGGAAATGTGGAGTACATCTCTGGAGCCAGAGGACCTGGATGTGAATCACAGCTCTGCTGTTAACTATGAGGCTGGACCAATGTACTTGTTCTTTCAATTCTTCAGTTACTCCTCCAAAGTAGGTTTGATAATTAGGAACACTCAACTCATAGCTTTGTGTGAAAGATTAAATGAGTTAATGTTTAGAAGGTAATCACAATATTCCTGGCCATAAAAAGTACATCATAAGGCCTTGTTGATTAAATTGAAGAAAAATCCTGTGCCTCTTTTCACTCCTTGCTTTCTTGCATAGCGCCTGGTACAAGGCGATAATAAAAATAGGTTCTGTTATATAATAGATTATAATTACTATATGACT